TATTTTTTATTAAAAAATTAATACTTTTTTTTTATGTTTGCAGGCAAATTTGCCTGCTCTACAGTTTAAGGGATAATTTAAAAAATCTATTTTGTGTTAAATTAAAATTATTATCTTAATTTTTGTAAAATAATTTGAGTTGCATAAGTATATTATTATAAGGATTATTATTTTTCTTTTATTTTTTATTTTTAAGTTTCTTATATATTTAAACTTTTATTTAGTTTTTTAAATATTTTCTCTTTTATTTATTTATGACTATTTTATTATAATATCTTATTATCTGTATTTATATTATGTATTTAATATTATTCTTGAAAATTTTAATTTTTAATTTACTTTTTTTTTTATTTTCTGTTTTGATACATTTTTTGCAATATTTGTAAAATTAGACTATAATGTGTAACCTTAATTATTACTTATCGACTATATATTTGAATTATCTTTTTCAAACTGAACTGAAACAAATCATTAATAAATATCGCCGGAATGTTCCGTAATTTATACGAGAATAATTGCACTGCAGGGTACGAATTGAGAGGTTTCCGACTATAAATTGTCAAAAAGGAAATCGGATAATAATATCATTCGCACTAGATACTGGTAGGTTTGACAAAGTCTTTAATACAAGCGCGCGGTAATTTCTATAAATAGAAAGTTTAAATTCCGGTTATTTCGTAATATTACATTTGCATGATTTGCATGGCAATGGGTTAAATTAATGCATGAAATAGACCAACCAGTTACGCTAAGCATTTATGCACATTATCTTTGGATTTAAGTTTGGCTCGGAGTCGATTGACAAAAATCCACCTTGCATGATTTTGTTTGATATATGTGTATTCCTCTGATAAATTCGGCAAAAATTATTTTTAGATTTTTAAGAGATCAAATCGAAATCAAATGCCTGCTACCCCGTCTGCACTATGCGCTCTGCGCTCTCCCGTTCATTACATTAACGCCTAGAAATTGCGAAATTCATGCAACTACTAACTTTAACATTATTATTCTTCAAAAGAGATGTGATCTGATTTTGGTAGAATAGGCAAGTTACACATTACAAGAGTTCAATCAGGTGTGACGAAATTAATTGATATTCAGATAACTTTTGACTGACAAAGTTTTCTTTTTTTTTTTTTTTTTTTTTTTTTTTTTGTACTCCAATCGTGGGCAAAAGCGAAAAAAAGGGGTTGTGCAAATATATAAAGTGTCCTCCTACCCACTCTTTGCTTGTTCTTTTCTCTTCATTCCCTACATTTTATCCCTTATCTTCATATAAGTATATCCATCTTTTATTTAATATAAAATTAGATCAAAATGTGTGGTATTTTTGCTTACCTTAACTACCTTGTCGCCAAAGATCGAAGATTTATCACTAATACCCTTATTAGCGGTTTGGCTCGTCTTGAATACCGTGGTTATGATTCCGCAGGTTTAGCAATCGATGGAGATTCTAACGATGTACTCATCTACAAACAAGTTGGCAAGGTTGCTGCTGTAAAAAAACTCGTTTCTGAGGCAACTGTTGACTTTGAAAAGGAATTTGTTAGCCACTGTGGTATGGCTCACACTCGTTGGGCTACTCACGGTGAACCTTCTCCAACAAACTCACATCCTCATCGTTCCGACCCAAGTGGTGAATTTACCGTAGTTCATAACGGTATCATCACTAATTATAAAGAATTGAAAACTGTCCTCGAGAAAAAAGGTTATATGTTTGAATCGGAAACTGATACTGAAGCCGTTGCCAAACTTGCAAAATATTTGTATGATTCTCAAAAATCTAATGAAAATCTGAGTTTCACCGCTCTTGTTAAAGGTGTTATTAAGGAATTGGTAAATATCTTTTACATTTGATCCCTATTTTAATGAACCTTATTAACCTTACAATAATTAATTTATAAAATACGCGTGATCGTACAGGAAGGTGCTTTTGCCTTGATCTTCAAGAGTGTACGTTTCCCTAATGAAGTTGTTGCTACGCGTCGTGGATCTCCTTTATTAGTTGGCGTCAAAACCGAAAAAAAATTAAAAGTAGACTTTGTCGATGTAGAATTTGGTACAGGTAAGAGAAATATATTTTTTTTTTTTTGAGATGCCATATAAATGTATACACACTTTTTTTTTTTATGAATTAATCTCATGAAAAAAAAATTATTTTTCTTTTAACCTTTTTAATATAGACTCTGCCTTTGCGCCAACCGAGGAAAAAGTAGATGGAAATTTATTATCCCCTACAGACGGACATCCTAAACTTAGACGCAGTCAATCACGCGCCTTCTTAAGCGAAGATGGTTTACCCCAACCAATTGAATACTTCCTTGCATCCGATCCTTCTGCTATCGTTGAACATACCAAACGCGTACTTTATCTTGAGGATGATGATATTGCTCACATTAGTGACGGAGGTAATGATCTTTAGTAACCAGATAAATATAAAATTAATTTGATTAATTCCACTTATAAATATTATTATTATAATAGAACTTCATATTCATCGTCTAAGACGTGACGACGGAATATCAGCTGTTCGTTCTATTCAAACTTTGGAGATCGAATTGGCTGAAATTATGAAAGGTTCTTTCGATCACTTTATGCAAAAGGAAATTTTTGAACAACCTGAATCAGTAGTAAACACTATGCGTGGTCGCGTTAACTTTGAAAGTCATAAAGTTACCCTAGGTGGTCTTAAAGCATATTTAGCAACTATTCGACGTTGCAGGCGTATAGTATTTTGCGCTTGTGGAACAAGTTATCATTCTTGCGTTGCTGTAAGTTTTATTTAAAGAAATAGAAAGTTCTTGAAACATTTGATTACCAACATACTAATCTATCTGAAATGAATATATTCGTAGACTCGTGCCATTTTCGAAGAATTGACAGAAATTCCTGTCTCTGTAGAGTTAGCAAGTGATTTTTTGGATAGAAAGACTCCCATATTCAGAGATGATGTTTGTGTTTTCGTATCACAGTCCGGTGAGACGGCAGACACAATCCTTGCCTTAAGATATTGTCTTGAACGTGGAGCTCTTTGTCTTGGTATTACCAACACTGTCGGTTCAACGATCTCTCGAGAGACGCATTGTGGTGTTCACATCAATGCGGGTCCGGAAATTGGGGTCGCTTCAACCAAGGTACAATGTATTTCTTTGGTTTAATAATAAATTTTTTATCATGCATTAATACATACTTATCCATATATTTATCCTAATATGATAGGCATATACCTCACAATTTATTGCTTTGGTCATGATGGCTATTCAATTGAGCGAGGATCGTTCATCCATGACTCAGCGACGAAAAAGCATCATTGATGAGCTTAAAAAATTACCCGAATATATTCAAAATGTTTTAAGTATTGACAAAGAATTAAAACAACTTGCCAAAGATGTACTTTATAAAGAAAAAAGTCTTTTGATCATGGGTCGTGGCTTCCAAAACGCTACATGTTTAGAAGGCGCGTTAAAGATCAAAGAAGTTTCATATATGCATTCCGAGGGTATCTTAGCTGGTGAACTAAAACACGGTCCTTTGGCCCTTATTGACGAAAACATGCCTGTTATCCTTATCATGACTAAAGATTCTCTGTATCCAGTACGTCGATTTTCTTTATTCGATTTTATAATTCAATCCATAAAATAAGTCTCACGCTATGATGTTTCTTTTTTTTCCACAATAATAGAAAGTACAAAGTGCTCTTCAACAAGTTACGGCTCGTAAGGGTCAACCGATTATTATCTGTAATGATGGAGATGAGGGTATATCGAGTCAATACAAGACAATCCGTGTTCCACAGACGGTTGATTGTCTGCAAGGACTTATTACAATCATTCCTTTGCAGATATTATCATATCATTTGGCCGTTCTACATGGAGTTGACGTTGATTTCCCACGAAATTTAGCTAAATCGGTAAGTTTATTTTTATGTTCTTAAAAACTTTATCAATTAATCAATCAATTAATTAATTTTCTTCAAACTTTACAGGTAACTGTCGAGTAACGAAAAAAAAAAATTAAAATAAAAATAAAAATAAAAAAAAAAAATAAGAGAGAGAGAGAAAGCCATTAATGAATAAAAGTAATTATTCTACCTATTCCTATATTTATAAATTATTTTTAGATATTTAACCCAATTTTACGTATGTATTTATTACAACTTTTATAAAATTACTAGTTTAGTTCGAGAAGCATTCGGTTTGGTTTAGAATTTGTTATTTTGACTTTCTTAGTACTATTTAAATTTGTTTTATTTTTCATAATAAAAGAAATACCAATACTTGTATGTACTACATCATGATTTGTATCAAAATGTAACAATGGTCACCTTCATGGTAAGTCAATTCATTTGTCACCGGATAAACCTATTTAAATCGGAGGATATCGGAATCGATTCTAAAGAGATCGAAAAACTGCAGCGAAAGTCTGTAATGTTAGACACCTAACAAAAAGGATATATGATAAAAATATATAAAAATTCTTCAAAAGATTATTATAATAAATATAAATTGCCGTATAAAGAAATTGTGTTTCAATACATCAAATTCCTTATCCAACCTTTGACGTTCTAATACTTTGAATTTTTTGTCTTGCATCACTAAAAACAAACATACAATGATGGTTTATCATTGATCATTTGAAAATTGATGGTTTGTATCAAACCACAGGGGTTTGAAGACCCGAAGCAGCCTTACTTTGGTCCATGACGTACACCTTACTTACGTATACTGTCTATAAACGGATATAAGGCATATAATTGATATTATTGATATTACAACTGCAAGAACAAAAATTCTCGCTCGCTATTATTATTTACTTTCAAAGAAGCATTGTTAAAATGAATGACGAAGCAGCATTAATAAGAAAATTTTGTAGCGTTACAAACACGAGTCATGAAGTTGCAGTAAACTATTTAATGGTAAATAACATTTCAAAAGTTTGTAGAAGTATTAAATAATTTATATAAGTAACTTTTCATTTTCTTTATAACTCGCGAAACTCAATAGGTGTCCGACGGTAACGTTGAGCAAGCCATTTCTCTTTACTTGGAGAGTGGCGGTGCTGATCTTTCTGATGCTTTTGGTGCCGCTCTTACCTCTACGAGTCCTCAACTGTCTCCATCAAGAGCGACCTCCACAGACACTGGGAAAACAAGCACATTTGACAGCGATGCTGAATTAGCGAAGGCAATTGCTCAAGAAGATTCTACAATTCGACCTCCCATAGCGCCAAAACGCGACATACTTGTTGGTGATCAAGACAACGGTCGTGACGGTGGAATGAGTAGGGACCCTTTTCTTTCTTTCTTTTTTTTTTTTTTTTTTGTTTTGAATTCATTTAGAACTATAAAAGTTTCCCTTATTTATAAATTTGGACTTTGCGACTGTTCCACGTTATAGTTAGGAGAGATGTACCACGCACTCGTCGCTCACGTGATTACACTCATCGAAATTTTGCAGGCGACGTTATTCCTCATCGAATAGGTATAATAAAAATTTTCCTTTTAACATTGAAAATTAACAAGAATGATAAGAATGATGAGTGATCAAATGAATTTGTAGTGCCTTCCGAGGCAACTAGGTTGGCTGATTTATTTAGTCCGCCTTTCGATATCATACATAAAGAAAACTTTGAAAAAGTAATTAAAAAATTTTTTTTTGATTTTAAAAAAGTTTATTTTATGAATTTCTTCGATATTTAAAAAGATATTTTCAATTTAGACACGGATCAGAGCGAGAAATGATGGCAAATGGTTAATGGTTGATATCCAAAATATAAAAGAATTTTCTAGTCAACTTCTCAATCGTGATTTGTGGACAGACAAAACAGTTAAAGACGTGATTAGAGCACATTTTCTTTTCCTTCAGGTAAGTTAAATAGACAATTTTCTTTTTAAAAAAAAAAAATTCACAATTCAATTAATTAATCTATCTATCTATATTTATATTTATTTAAAATTTAATATTTCTTAGTATAATTCAGACAGTCCTGACGGACAACAATACATAAATTTCTATCCTATTGAAAATTATCCGCATATTGCGATTATTGATCCAAGAACGGGTAGGACTGAGAAATTTTCACAGGATTAATTCTTGTTTACACATCGATTATTAATATATATGAATCTTACCTTTATTTTTTATTTTTTATTTTCCAACAGGTGAAAGAGTAAAAGTATGGAGTACCCAGACGGAACCCACCGAGTTTTTAATCGGTGGTAAGCAATCCTCTTGTTCATTAATGGTAACGCGTTAAAAATGATTGATTGAAAATTTCGTGGTTGTATTTTTTTTTTTTCAAAAGTTACGGATTTCTTGGAGCGCTATTCGTTGACTGATCCAATGAAGCCGACTTCCACACCGAAAAAGGTAATACTGTTTTAATTTCAGTTTATATATTAAAAGAACTTCATTAAACTTGACTTCATTCGATTATAGGCACTATCGGAAATGAGTGAAGAAGAACAGTTAAGGGCAGCTATGGAAGAATCACTTAATTATAACAATAAAAATGTTGAAGTTCAAACATCCAAGCAAATAGATTTTGAATCTGAATCTGATGATGATATGGAAATCGAAGATGTGATTGAAGTGGACTCAATTCCTGGTAAATATGAATTTTATAATTTGTTTTTAGAATAGTTGCTCTTATCTAAACAATTAATTTATTTAATTCCTTTATAGAAGAACATGTTTCGACTTTTGATACCATTCAACCTGTTGAAAGGGAAGAAGCCCAAGGTCCTACATCAGCAATGATAAAATTCCGATTGGCAGGTAATAAACGTGGAACTTGTATTTATATATATATATTTTTAACTAAAACGAAGGATTTAATCAAAGACGGACAAACGATTATTCGGCGGTTTGAAAAATTGGATCCTGTCCGATATTTATTCGAGTTCATTAAAGCGACAGTTCCTAACTTGAAAAATCAGCAATTTGAGGTATTATATTGTACATTTATATAACGCACTTTTAAAAAAGGTCAACCAATCCTGATTATATAAATTTTTTTTTTTGTCGTCTTTCTCGCGCATTAGCTTGTTTGTCACAGGAATAATTTGATAAACCATGTCGATGAAACTGTAGAAGCAGCAGGTTTATCAAATTCACTTGTTAATGTTAATAATTCTTAAATACATTAATCAAAGTAATGACTTACGATTAAAATTAGCCAGTGTAAAGATTGTTTTATACTATTATCAACTATATAAATATATATTGATATTTCATTATACTAGTTATACATATATGTAGATCAATGTAATCTTTTGGATTCATTATTAAAATTTTAATGAGTTGGGTCATCTTTTAACATTTAACTGTACCTTTTTTTATTTTTTTTTTTTTAATTTTTTTTTTTTTTATGGATTTATGAATAAAATTTTGATTGTTATTACCTAACTAATTTATTTAATTCAACATAAAAATATACGTTCAATAATTTAAAATCCTCACAAAAATGTCCTAAAAAGGAAAATTAGTGTTTTTAACCATTAAACAAACAAAAATTCTAATTCCTTTTTTTTTCTTTTTTATTCATTCCAAAAAATTGGAAAATGGTTGATTATTGTCATTAATATTATTCTATTGCTATTGTTGTTTTTCGGCATGTTTAAGAAGTTTTTCTAAATCAAAGTTGGGATCATTTGGATCTGTTATGACTGGAAAATAATAATAATAATAATTAGATTTGTTCTCAACATATTCTGATTAGAGCAAGCGTTTAAAATCTATAATTGTTAACGATTTAAATGATAGAAATGACAGTAACTTAATCCAAGGAGTGAATTCAATCCTATGTTCTTATTATAAAGCAAAATCCATCGTATACTTTTACAATTCAAAAGTGTACATATTCACTAAAACATATCTTATATAATACCTATTCTCCGTGAAAGTTATAAATCATAATTTCTATTCTCATAGGAAAAAATTTGAAAAGTAAAAAAAAAATAATATAAATATATACTATACCATCGAGATTTTTAGATGCAATTGAAGCGGCATACGCAGCTTTAGCTTCATTAATTAGTGCCTCTTTATGTTTATATTCAGCTATCTCCTTTTTCTTTGCCTCAGAGCTAACCAATGATTTTTTACGTACAAAACCATAAGTAATCCCAAGGGCTAGTGCAGTCCATCGAGCAACCTATTATATTTTTAACAAAAAAAATGTAGGAATTTATTGCTCGTTTTCCACACTTAATAATTATACAGACTTAAAAGAAACTTCTATTCATTTCCTTTTATAAATAAGTTAACGCTTACTTGAACATTAGTTGAAACCATTTTTTAAAAGAAAAGAAGGGAAAAAAAAAATCAATTTTTTTTTTAATATTTATACCTATCGTAAAAGTTCACGTGATCTCGTCGTTCCACTTTTAAAGTCACGTGATTGAAAAAGGTAAAACCATATTCAAAGAGTTTAGAATCCTTTTACACGTCTATATCTGCGATATGGGGTATTTATAAGAAATTAATTCATTGTAGAAATTTTTTTGTTTTATTTTTTAATCGAACAATTTTAATTTTAAATTAGCATGGAAAAAAGCATGAAAAGAAGTTAAAACAAAAAAAAAAGGTAATTAACGCTATTTCATTCGTATTTTCATAAGCTGCAATACAAAAATACACAGATATCTTTTTTACACCAAACAAATTGGATTTCCAAATATGATGATCTTTCATTTGACATATTATATTTAATAATACACAAATCCCGTTTGTGCAGACAATTATTTCTTTATGCGCAAAGTTGTATATATAGACAACAAAAATATTTTATTTTTATTTTCTTATAATTTCGAAACAAACCTCCTAAAAAAATTTAATTTAATCATCCTGAATCATTTTCTTTTTAACGTGATATTATTTCTAAAAGGGGAAATTAGAGATAAATAGGAAACTTCCTTTTTTTTTTTAAATAAAAAAAAGTTATTTCTTTTATCGCCCCCCAACTTACACTCTTTATACATAAAACTTTCCTTTATTATTAGTGACTACAAACCTTTTTTCCAAAAAAAATAATAAACAATGGTAAAATTTGGAGATTTTAATAAAGTCTGTGAGACGGTGGCACTCACTGTGTGCCCTCTTGTAGGTTCGGAAGAAGGCATTGAACCAACATGTTATTCAAGAAACGTTGAAATTGCTGGCACACTAATTTTCCAACCTGGTAAAAGTTATTCCTTGACAACTTGTATTTTATAATTCTTTTACTTTTATTTACTAACTTATCTCTTTTTAAAGCCACCATTATTATCCATGTTATTGCGCTCATCATGACTTCCATCATGATTTATCACATAAAGTCAAAATATACAGCCGTCGGTTTGTATTTATTTATCTTACGATAACTTCTATCCTACAAGTTTGATCCTAATTTCTTTCGATATTATATACCATACAGTACTAATATTTATTATTCCATAATTCTATAATAGGTCGTAAGGAAATTGTCATGTTCTTTTATTTATATATGATGGTTACCTTCTTAGAATTATTGCTTGTTTCTGGTATCATTCCAACTGCATCAAAAGTTTATCCTGTAAGTTTTTCTTTTTTTATTATTATTATTAAAAAGAAAAAAAAAATAACGTGAAAGCTTTTTAATTAATTAATTATTCAAATTTTAGTATTTTACTGCTGCACATGTTGCACTTATCACCGCTACGTTCTGGTGTTTATTGTTAAATGGTTTTGTCGGATTTCAATTTGCTGAAGATGGTACACCATTGTCACTTTGGGTATGTTGGATTCCAAAAGAATTTTTGAAATTTTTTTCTCTTTTTTTTTTTTAAAAAAAATTTTTAATATTATTTTTTATAGTCGATCCGTATTTCCTCTTTGGTTATTTTTGCTGGTGTTTTTTTCCTAAGTTTTGCAACATTCTTATCTAAAGCCGGATTTAGCCCCTTAAACCCAGTAGCACTTTGGATTGTATTGTATGTGTTTAATGGAGCAGCTCTCGTAATTTATGTAGTCCTTCAAATTGTACTTGTACTTAACACCCTTGACGATCGCTGGCCTCTTGGTGATATTGTGTTCGGTATTTCCTTCTATGTCATTGGTCAAGTCATCCTTTACTTATTCTCTGTACGTATCTGTGATACAGCCAAACATTACATCGACGGATTATTCTTTGGAACAATCTGCACACTTTTAGCTGTTATGATGGTTTACAAATATTGGGATTCCATCACCAAAGAAGATCTCGAATTTTCCGTTGGTAGCAAACAAAATGTTTGGGAAGTTAAAGAATTACTCGGAGAGGATGAATTGGCATATTCAAATCAAGGTGGTTATGGTGGTGGTTACTCTCCACAACAACAACCACCACAACAATATGGCGGATATAACGATAATTATTAATTATTAATTAATTAGAACAAATATGAGATTATTATCATTATTAAAACTATTAATACGTATTATACGTAAAAAAAAAATAAACTTTTAATTTTTTGGGGGAAATAGATTTTAGCACACCCCATTTCCGTTGTTGTAATTTATATTTTCTATGTTATATCAAATTTTCCTTTTCTTTATTATATAATTCATATAACGTAAATAAGGAATGAATAGTAAAGAAAAATTTAATTCATATTGGACAATTTACTAGTGGAAACAAATTAATATTTATTCTTATAATAATATACTTTTTTTTTTTTTTGAAAGAAAAAAAAAAATCTTTTTGTACTTTCAAAACCAGAACGTTTTTAGTTTTTAAGTGAAATTTAATCCGTGATTTTTTTTTAGTGAAAAAAAAGCGATGTCAATTATAAACCTATATGAGTCATTGGATTCGAAATTTGAAAAAATGATAACCGGATTTATTTGCCGGGTCACTTATACTTATTATGTGTGAATATTTAGTAAAATCCTAATACTAATCCTAATCCTAAGAGGAGAGCCATAAATTACGCCATTTTGATTTTAAGGATTTTGACTTCCTCCCCCCTGTCATCATTTTTATTACTTTTAAATAAGAAAATCATATAGTAATGTCATCCTAGGTAAATCCCTCCTCCACCCTTAGAAAATTATGTCATTTCTGACCCTTTCTTAACTCTGATACTAGCCTTAATAATAAAACAAATCTGGCTACCAAAATAAAATTTTTAATTAGTAATTTACTATCGTAACATCTGCTTAGTCTTTTCTTTTATGTATTTATTTGCATACAAAGCAACTAGGAAACTTGAAATCTCATTATACATCTTATGTTGCTAGCTAATGCAAGAAAAATTCTTAAGTATGTGTTCTTGCTTAACTCTACAAAATTTGTGATTCTCTTTGATGATTCAACTACTAATAAATATGAGCTGTCTAAAGATATCCTTACTATCAACATTGTTTTTATCTGCAGATTGCAAAAAAGAACAATCAAGCATAGTGTTAACGAAAGAAATTGCAATTCCAAATATTATCTGAGATATGCTAATTAATGATAATCTTATATTAGATGATCTTTCAACTACATCAAATAGTAATCAATAATAATTTCAATTTTATTTGTTTTTTTTGTATATTCTGTATAGCCAATTTATTCTATTTATTCTGTTTTGTTTGTAATTCTTTTAACATTTGTAAATTTACTTTACTTATTTTTATTATTTTATTACATTTAAATATATTTTTATTAGAATATATATTTATATTTAGTTAATTTATAGCGTAATAAATTAATTTTGTATAAATAGAATAGCTTTTTACCCAAGTTATAAATTAATTCTTTTTATAAATACAAGTTTTTAATATTATTAATAAAGAAACTAATTTAAATCTACATAAATTACTTTTCTCTTTAATATAATTTCTTATTTAGAATTTGTTATAATATCCTATATTAACTTGCTATTAAGTTTGTCATTACAAGTTTAACTAAATATATCTTAAATTCTAAGACGTAATAAATTGCTGAGTTGATTCAAGTATAATAGATATCTATAAGATTCCTAAGATTAAAAAACTCTAACATGTAGAATTAATTACTATAACCTTTTAATTTAGATATTAAAATAACCAAAAATAAATCTGATGATAACAGAAGAAAAAGAAAAGAAAAAAAGAAAATATTAACAGTGAGAAAAACAAAAATGAAAAAAATGAAAATGCGAACAGAATATTAAAAGTAAAATTATTCTCGAATCTTGCAAAAAACATATGATAAAATGATAGATAAAGTTGATGAATTTTTAATTATACATGTAAATAAAAATAAGAATAAATGTAAAGAGATAATTATTACTAGATAACTAAATCATTGAAAAGTCTAGAATAATAAATATAGTGTTTTAATTGATCAGCAAAAAAATACAGTTAATTCTTGATATAGTGAACTTTTGATATAAAAAATTTTTTAAATAAATATAATAAAAATACTTTTGTTATAGCAAATTAGCCAATCAAATTTTTTAAAATCTTCACTATAATGAAATTGAGGTCTAGAATATAGAGTTCATTATAACAAAAGTTGACTGTATATAATTATATACATAATAAATAAATGTAGTAAACAATAGAGTTCCTGACGAGTCGAGTTAACTCACGAGTCAGATAAGCCGAGTCGAGTTCAAATCAAGTCGAGTTGGTGTTTTTTTTGACTC